CCCCTCTTCTCCCCTTCCGTTTGTTGCTCCTCCCCTCCCTGTGTTATCTCCCCCTCCCCTCCACGTCGTTTGGCGCAGAGACGCTGTATATGTGTGTCTGTGTGTGGAGAGAGCGTAGAATACGTGTGCAAGTGCGTGAGCTCCCGCATGCGCATGTGATTGTGTGTGTGTGTATTTTGCCACGTGGCCTTCACGGCTCTCTGGCGTCCGAAATTGATTTGCAAAATTTCTCTCTCTTTAGTTTCGCGTACAGAACTATTCTGGTTTGAAACATAAATCATAAACTCAAAAAGTGCAATGATTTCTTTTTTCACACTGAGTCTGTTCGCTCAACCCAAAATCTTAAAAACTGAACATCAAAAATTATTAACTCCAGGTCTCCCTTGTGATAACCATTCGTGTAACTGTTTTGTTTTTTCTCTCGTTCCATTGCATGTGCGGGCCCAGTTCTCCCCCGCTCCCGGCCTCCTTTCTTATTCCTCCCTGATTTGAATTTCCACTTCTTTCCGTTATGTGGTCAAATAAAATGTTATGGTGGCTGCCAAAGAAGATGCACAGTGCAGTGACACGGCAAGAAAAAAGAAAGGGGGAAACAGCAATAGTACGGAACGACCGGGGAAACTTTTTACTTATTCAAAGCATGAAGACCACACGTAGAATTTTTCCAAACAGCTACACATTCTTTCTATCTTACCTTTCGTTATGGAAAAACAAATCTTGTAAATTTTGCTTTTAAATAATCTCCATCCCCCTTTATATTTCAACACACACACACACAGTGTGCTTGCATAAGTGGCCCGGGCAGTGGTGGCGCCGCCAGGGCTGGCGCTTGGCTTGGCATTTGATCCTTTTCGGAATTAGAAACGCCCAGCAGGCGTCCCCGCCATCCCCGTGTGTGTGTGTGTGTGTGTGTGTGAGTGAGGGAGAGAGAGAGACACACACACAGAGCTAAGGGTGACAGGAGAGAAAGAGAGAGTGAGGACAAAGTGGGTGGAAGTGAGAGAGAGCGAGCGCACAAACGCGCGAGCAAGGTGGAGGGGGTGGGGCGCCCGGAGCGAGGGTGGGCGGCCATTTTGTGAGACGGCCGTCACATGTGGGACCCCACCCCTGCACATGTGTGGATGACTCGCCCGGGCGAACGCAGGCCAATTTATACTGTCCGAGCCGAGCAGAGCCGAGCCGAGCCGACACACACACAAGGACACACACACACGCACACATTCGTTTTCCCCTGTGATTACGCCGCCCTGCTGCCGCCGCCACCGCCACCGCCGCGCTGCCCGGGATAAAATAACCATTTCCTTATAATGTATGCTCCGTACGGAGGCAAACATTTTCTCTGCAAACAGACAGCCGAGAGTATAGCGGCGGCAGTGGACTTCGCGTTGCCCGGGCCCGCGCGCACGGCCCATCGTCTTGAATTATGTAGACCGCGGACCGACGGCAGGTCGGACGGATATGGGGGGCGCCGGACGGACGGAAGGTCGGACGGCTCTTTTGCGTTGCTTTCCTGCTCGGCCGTGGACGCCGTAGTAGTCCATATATCGTTGCTCGTCGTAAAGTCTTCATCAGGACGCAAAAACTTTCTTCTGATTTCGTGAGCGGCAGCAGCGAGCAAAGCCATCTTAGGACCCCCCCCCTCCCCCTCCCTCCGTTTCCCCATCACATGTAGGGGACGCCAGATGTCGCGCCTCCCTCCGCCTCCGCCTTCTCTCCGCGGGCGCTTCCGGCGGCGACATTCTCTTTCTCCTACGCGAAATGAAAATATTGGCGTTTGGCGTCGCGAATAAGTTTTGGGGCTGGCGGCGGCGGCGCGGCAGGCGTGTGATATACACACAAAGGCTCGCGGGGCGGGATAAGTTTAGGCGGACTTATTGGACATCGAGACAATAAGGTGGATCTCTTCTCTTCCAGATGTAACCTGCAGCGAGATCGCGCGG